TGCTGTAGCCGATACTGCATAGCTGAGCTCACAGTCTGCAAAGAGTTGTGAAAGTCAAGTTATCAAACAGTGTCCCAACCAACTCTCTTCCCCTCTGGTTATGGGAAGGGAAAGAACCACCATTTGAAACCCAACGCTTGTGCTTCAGAGTTTCTGAAAGCCGAGTCTCAATGGTGCTTTCAGCATCTTCTGTGTCTCTCACAAGGCCATAAAGTGACAGTATACTGTTATTTGCTCCTCACTTGCTATATGTCTAGTGATAGCTTTTTCTAGCAATTCTTCCCAAATACACATAAATAAACTGTATAAGCATTTTCATATAAGTCTAAGCACTCGAATAATATATCGGTTACTTAATACTGATATTTTCATCCAAGGATAACAAAAACAATATGGCTTAAAGAATTGCAAGGTTTTTTTGTCAGAATTATGTACCAACTTTCATATAATATTTTATGTAGACAATATTTCCTTCTTAATGTAGTTCTGTTGCATACTTTATACAGACAAAAGCATTGTAAAAAAAAAAAGTAAATTACTTCCATAAATATTTTCTTGAGGATACATCCTTAGTTCTGCAAAATACTTAAGAAAACTCTTACCTCTGTTAGTATCCTAGTTGAGAGGAAGGCCCTTCTGAAAGCTTCCAAATTGTAAAAACTTTTCCCCAACAAACAAACAATACTTTTTTAAAAAGGCCCTCAAATATATACAAAAAAAAGTTACTGCAAAGAGTTTCCAGATAAGATAACAATTCAGTATTACAAGAAATATTTGTAACCATTCAAAAATTTTAACATCTAAAAAGGTTTCCAAAATACACACATAGTATTAAAAAAATTGAAAGAAACTCTATGTCAAGTATAACTCAAGATAAATACACATCTGCAAGTAAAACTGTAAAATACTTCATACAGGGGTAAACATTTATATCAATCATCTATAGCTAGTAACTGCACACGATTGTCCCTTTGAAATTCATCCTAGAAACACAAACCATCATCCCTATATCTAAGATCTCAAACAGACCTCTGAGCACTTCAGCAATATAGAAAACTGAATGCACAGCAGTGGTTTTGCAGATAGGAAAGAGATACGGGTTGAAGCCCAATCGGGAGTGATATCTTAAAAAATGATTTTTGTATGGGGACAGTTCCGTCACATTTTAAAATATGTTGGCAAAGGCAAGTGGAAAATTTATGTCAATTCACTTAACTTGAAAAACACGTGCTGATGATTTATTGCATACTGTTCAGTGGACAACTCTTAGGATCCATGCTAGGAAAAAAAATTCTGCGTGACTGCAGGACAAAGAGAACTAATCTATGAAGTCTGACATTTCCAAAAGCTCTTAACTTTTAATGTTTTAAGTAGTTTTATTTTTGGAATAACTGCTAGAGTGTCACAGGTATGCAACCCATGTATAATCTAAATTTCACCTTATACAAAAAGGTAAAACATAGAGAATATTTCTTGGTATAAGGCTTCTCTCAGACATATGTAACTTCACATTTTTAGTTTACAAACTAAGTCCCATATAATGGGGAACTTCAAAATACACCTATTTTCACAAATAATATATACTCTTGTGTATTTATCTGAAATTAAAAAGCAACTTTGAGACAAAAAGGCCTCAAATTTTGCTTGTGTGGCATCATTTTACGTCCGTGGTAGCAGCAGTAGAAACTGGCTAAAATGGGGCCATACTTTAAGCTACAGGGATTTTTCTTCATCACCATTAAATGAAGTATGTGTAACAACTTCATTGGAGCTGCATCAAGTTAAAGCAGCTAAAAACCTACATCACACATTACAAATCACTGATACTTTTCTCCAGAGCAGTGCCAATGCCAAGGACAAATTCCATGTGAAATGTTCTGACCGACTGAGGAAACAAATTATGTTCAGTTTTTTGGGTTTTTTTTTTAAGAAATAAATGGAAGTTTAAAGATCTCCGAAGAGGTGGAAAAGAAAAAAAAAAAAAAGTGCATGCTGAATTGGTAGGCAGACAACAGCAAGCACCTGAGGTTAAAAATCCAGTTTGCCAAATAAATGCAGAGCCAAATTTCTCTCGGGTGTAACCCTGAAGAATATTCAATTTAGGGAGGCCTGTATTGATTTAAAACTCTTTTTACTGATGCTTGCTTTGCTTCTGGTAAGACTGTCTAGAAATGCCTTCAAGGATTACTAGCTGATGTTCCAAATGCAGAGCTGGTTAAAGAGACAACATCAGGAACATTCAGAAAAATCTAAGAGGTAAATCAACGCATCCTCTTTCCAGTCAAAAATCTGAATTTTTAAGGTTTTTTTCCAATTTGGAAAGAGTTAGTTAGGTCTACAGGTGAATTACCTTTGGCGGGGGCGGGAAGAGAAGAAATTTACGTTTTGTAATCAATTTATTTTTCTCCTTTTTTTGAAATCAAAATTCAGAAATCTCCCTTCTGTGCCATTAAGTAAAAGCCAATGGTCACAAGCTATTGTACATTGGTTATGTGGATGTGTTTTTTCCAGCGACCCACAAACTGTATACAGATGAGCGTGGACCAAATGCTCAGGGCCGAATGCTACAATCCTGTGAGCAAACCTTGCACAGGGAGGGACGGAGGAATGCTCCCCTCATGCGAGCTCGGCACTGCCGCCTTCCCCGGGCACCGGCTTGTTAGGGAGCCAACGCTTCAGCCCTGTGCAGCGAGGACAGAAAACAAGGGGATGTCCTCGCACTGCTGGGGGGAAGCCGGAGTTCAGCCCCATGGCTGCAGGGGAGGGTTGTGGCGGCTCCCCAGGGACCCCTGGTCACTCTTCCTCCCTGCCCTGCTTTTGGCAGGGGTGGCAAGGCAAGCAGGCTGCTTCCAGCCCTGGGTACCCCAGGGCCTGATGGCATCCGCATCCCGCACTGGGACGGATTTGTGGTCTATGAGTCAGGCAGTCCAAACCATGGCAGTGTCGTTTCTTGCTTTCCTGCATGTTTTGTTCTTTGTCTGCTTTCCCCCTACAGAAGTGCAGGGGAAAATCTGTTCTCCTCCTTGTTATTTCAAATATGCTAAATATTACTTAAATACTTTCTATGTCTGCCGCCTAGGAAAATATCAATGATATAAATATTGAACTCTCGTAAGTATACTTTTAAGAATTATTATTCTACACCTACAGACATTAATTGTTTTAAAGTCAATCACATGTACTTTTAGGAACCTTATTTTAAAGTACAACCTAAAAATCCATAAGCTAAAGGCATTGCCACGCAGTGTTAAATCTGGATAAACAATTTTTAACAGGGCACTGTCATGAAAATAGCAACAATTGCATATAATAGTATCTTTTAGTTGGTCTTTGTTCAGAACCTGGTGGTGTGCTGTATATTGATGTAGCTATATCGGGGATATGCTATTTTACTGATCTAGTGGTTATAAGACAAATTATTTCAGAAAAAATGGTTGATAGCAACATCTTAATTTCAGGGAGAAAGTAAAATAACATTTTCCCTTATCTTCATCTAAGGGGGGGTTTCTACATGTCTTTTAGCTGGATGTGAAGCATCAACGTGATTTTTTTTTTTTTTTTTTTTTTGTTCATGTACTATTAAGTGCTCAAGAGGCAAAAATAGATCTGGTTTAGTATGTGGCTCTTTCAAAATTATTTGTGCTTGAAACAAATGATTGAGATGAATGCTAGAGGACAAGCTTTGAAAATCTGTGGTCCAGAAGGATCTTGTGACTTGCCCAATGTCAGGGAGCTAATGGAAGAGCTGTGGTCAGAAGCCAGGAGTCCCAGTGTTCATCCATTGTTCCGACCAGTAGGCTGGATCACTTGGGCTACCCATAATGAAGTTGGCAAGATATGTACATGACACTACCACCAGAATAAGCAGAAATTATTTTGCCCTGCTTATAGCAAAGCGGGGAAATGGCAGAAGTTTCACCCTAGAGCAAATTTGTAAAGAGCTTCACATTTCCTATGTGAATGCTCACTGTAAGTTTTCAATTTGCTTTACAAGAGCTTGACTGTACATACTGGTAACATCCTGCTATAACTTGGCATAAAAACACCTCTGTCTTAGCATTATGGAATTAATCCTCAAAACAAATTTAATTCATATCAAGTTATTTAGAACTTAAAGTATTTCCACTAACTATCACTCACACAAATCAATCTCCCTAAAGGAAACTTCATAAAAATAGAAGTTGTTGATTAAAAAAACCCAAACAAACATTACCCCTGTAATTTTTTTAGTGAATAATGCAAGTGAATTGCTTGTTGTGTCCTTTTGTCAATGTACTCTTATGTAGACATACAAACAGGATACTGTCTCGAGGTACTTTCAGTTCACGGTATTTCCCAATCCCTGATGAGATACTTCTTTGCAGCAGGATGCCCCTGCATGAAGTTCTACCTGAAATGGGACAACAAAATATAACTCCTACATTTCTTCTCAGGTATGTAGGTGTTTCAGGAAGACATAAAGAGGGAAGGTTATATAGAGTGTTCTCCATGCCTCGTAACACCCCTATGGCTAACAAGTTTTGTGTTATAACAAACTTGTACAGTAGAAAACAGGACATAAAAATATTTCCAGAAAGTGGCTTTAAAACTATTATAAATAGTAAGTTTGGCTAATCTTTCAATTAAGAGTTTTGGGGGCAGTTTTAAGTATTCTTATTCCCCCTTATTCACAGTAAATTTAGTGTGCTTGTGGCCTAATGAACAGCCCATACACATACGGGGACCATTTCAGTGGGATTATATGACAAGAGAAGGATCTGTTAGTTGCACAAGCAAGCCAATTTTGTCTCCTCCAAAAACCTCTTGGAATCCTTCCTGATGCTCTGGGTCCCATTATGGCACTCCCTTTCTACCCAACCCACACCCTCAAACAATTATTCACTTTTTTTTTTGCCACATCCTGCAAAAATGATTTTGCCTAAGCCCTGCCCAAGTGATGGTAACAAATAGAAAAAGTCCAAGAAAGCAGCAGCACAAAATTCTCAGACTTTCTAAAACTGGGAAAACAATAATTTTCTTTCTTTTATGCTGTGGCTTGTCTCATCTTCCTTTGTCTTGTCATATAATAGGAATAACGTTCATGTTGTGGGCAAGTGCTTGCAATTAGTGGCCCCACAGTTATTTAACCTCTGCAAAAGCCATACATACAACATATATTCCTTGTGAATATTATACCTTGCCTATTGAATAGTACTTCATTTCACCTGGCTGTGATATAGGGTCTGTGTAAACAATCAGCAGAACCTGCAACCGCGGTTCTGTTGTGAACACTATCAGTAACGCTTTATATATGTGTGTGTACATATATATATAAAAATTTACATATATATGTATGTATACAAATCATAGTCCTGTAAATACCTGTTGCATGTGTGCACATGCACAGGAGAAATGTTACATTCTATTAATGGTATAAGGCATATTATTAGATAGGCGATATTGGCAATTATTTTAGCTTTTATCTTGATTTGTTGTGTTGCTGTTGATCGCATGCTGCCAGAGGATCTTTAAGGATGATGGGGACAGGAAGAGGCCACTTTGAAGGTTTATTGCACACGGCGGCAGTAGTAGCCCAAAACTTTGCACTTCTCACACAGATGCTGGGGATGTTCTTTGCTCTGATCTGAAACATCCAGGCCATCCGGCTTTTCCAGGGGTCTCTGCAGTGAAGGGAAAGAAATCGGATCAGATCCAAGGTTTTGTCACTGTTACTCTTTATTATGCATGTGAAGCCTACTTTTATGCTTAACTGAGCTTTATCCTAGTAATTATAAAGGTACTGTATTTCTTTCCTGAAGGGATGAAATATATTTCAGCTCTGCATTGGTTCAGAGTGGCCTCACAACTTAATGTTACTCTTCTTCACAAAGGTGGTGGTAATTTTTTTTTTGTAGACAAACTACTAAAAGACTGAATTGGGGATTATATTTATAAAAGCAGTAACACAGAAGAGTTTATTCTCTTGGCTCCAGTAACCGAGATGTCCCAAAGGCATTAACACCTCCAGCATGGGAATCCCATTACCCAGCAATGCCAGTAGGGGTTAGAATCATAGAATGCTTTGGGTTGGAAAGGACCTTTAGAGGTCATCTCACCCAACCCCCCTGCAGTGAGCAGGGACAGCTTTAACCAGATCAGGTTGCTCAGAGCCCCGTCCAACCTGACCTTCAATGTTTCCGGGGATGGGGCTTCCACTGCCTCTCTGGGCAACCTGTGCCAGTGCTTCACCCACCCTCATTGTAAAAAAATTCCTTCCTTATATCCAGTCTAAATCTACCTTCCTTTAGTTTAAAACCATTACTTCTTGTCCTGTCACAACAGGCCTTGCTAAAAAGATTGTCCCCATCTTTCTTGTAGGCCCCCTTTAAGTACTGAAAGGCCGCAATAAGGTCTCCCCGCAGCCTTCTCTTCTCCAGGCTGAACAACCCCAACTCCCTCAGCCTGTTCTCACAGGAGAGGTGCTCCAGCCCTCGGATCGTTTTGGTGGCCCTCCTCTGGACCTGCTCCAGCAGGTCCATGTCCTTCTTGTGCTGAGGGCTCCAGAGCTGGACGCAGGGCTCCAGGTGAGGTCTCACCAGAGCAGAGCAGAGGGGCAGAATCCCCTCCCTCGACCCGCTGGCCACGCTGCTTTTGGTGCAGCCCAGGATACGGTTGGCTTTCTGGGCTGCAAGTGCATATTGGGGGTTGCCCCGTCCCAGGTGCAGGACCTTGCACTTGGCCTTGTTGAACCTCATGAAGCTCACGCTTGCCGAGGTCTCTTTGGATGACATCTCATCCTTCTGGCATGTCAGCTGCACCACTCAGCTTGGTGTCATCTGCAAACTTGCTGAGGGTGCACTCAATCTCACTATGTCATTGATAAAGATGTTATGGTTACCAACGTTAGGATTAACTGCTGTGACAAGAAAACTGTCTTAACCACACACAGATATTACATAGCTAAATGAGGTTTTCCCAATACTCAGTCCCATACTTCTGAGGCTGAAAGTTTTGAAATAGAGCAGTTGCAAAGCTATTAATACCCCCCCCCAAAAAAACCCCCGACCCCCCCCAAAAACCCAACGTCACAACACAACCCTTTGTCCTGAACCTGAGTAATAAATTGACTATGTATTTTTAATATTAATTTGTAAAATCACAGGGTTGGAGGTATATTCTGCTAAACAAGGGAATGAAATTGTTTTATTTTTAGTAGATTTTTGTTCTTTAATTTTCCATGACATGTAAAGGGTTTCACAGTCATTCTGAAAATAAAATACCCCTGTTTAATATTGCAGTAAGGTTAAGTGTTTGGAAAGTCTAATAGGTAGAGAGGTGGTAGAGATATGAGGTAGATAAAGTGCACCATTTTATTCAAAAAACAAATAAAATTCCCTAACCCATAATTTCTCTGTTTTTGTGAAATGTATCTGAAAGACTATTTCATTGCACAGTGCCTTCCCATGAAGACAGCAGTTCTTCTATGGGACTGTGTTAGAGACTGCATGTGGTGTGAAATCTGAAAACAAGCCATAAACTTCTCGCTGTTCTCACAGGGGTACTAGACTCTTCCTTATCTCTTCAAAATATGATTCTTGGAGCAGGGGGTGGATACATATAAACTACAAAATTATGGCCATTTATCTTTTCACACCTTTCCTAAATCCTAAAGACTTCCCTAAGCTGTAAAATCTTAAAGTACTCCTGATCATCTAAGTTTTCATTTGTAAGTTCTTCATTACAAAGCCACCCACCTGAGACCCTGTGGATAGGAAGAACAGAGACATTAAAAGCTTTTTTTGGCTACGTAACACTACAAGAACAGCTTGTAATCCAGAGAATAGAAGGGTTTCTCAGCTCTCTGAAGAGCTAAAATGAGGCAAAATATATTCTATTATCCTGAACAAGGGATGTCTGCAAATTCTTGCTTGGTTGCATTGGAGTGTAAGTCCAACACTCTTATTATTTTGCACAGCTAGTAAAAACAATATATGGGAGTAATTCAGTGGCAATTGCCAATGGTTTGTTACTGATTCAGTGTTCTTAGCCATGCTATTGCCTGAAGTTTTGTCTTTTCTAGGCCACATATTATATGTCTTTGAGTTTAACATTTACAATTTAATTGCAAATTGGATTTCCTCTATCAGGTAGGGGATAAGGAAGGTAGATGGACCCCTCATCTCCTCTAAATCCTTTAACCTCCCTCTGCAACTCCACTGTGCTTTGAATGACTTGTTGGAAGTCATTGTGTTAGGATTTGATATCAGAACCAGCAATCACGTTTCTAGGCTTGCAACCCAACCACTGGTGCAGGCAGTGCTTCTGCCACAACGCAGGCAAGTTGAATAAGTTTATTTGGTCAGAAAAACTGCCCTTCTGCCTTTTCTACCACTTGTTCCACCAATATCTACTCACAAACTTTCTTCAAGAATTTGCATTACATAAATGAAGTCAAAGATGATGCTCAGGTTCAGGAGTCCCAGGAGTTAATTTATTCTCCTCAATGGAGAATATGAGAGTTTTGAAATGCTACACTTAAAACAGGCTATTCGACTCAGCTCTGATTGCTTCTACATGCTAGCTGTGCTCTGATTAAAGAGAAAAAATACAGCAGTTATCATGTTTATTGATATAAGCCAGATTTTCTTTTTTAATATGCAAGGCCTTGGGAATCATTTTTCCTGGAAATAGTGCAAAGGACATTGGGAATGCCTTGAAGTGCCAAGAGTTTTTGGACGGTTTTCAGAAACAATAGCTCTCCGTGGTTTGCTTTCCCCCTGCGTTGATTGAGCTCAGCTTTTTGGCCTGCAAAGCATTTCGATTTCAGAAATGTTATTGTTACCAGCGTGTTACGACACAGAGGCTGGGGAGAGAGGGGTTACAAATGCAGGAAAGCAGGTTGTCAAGGGCCAGCTGGAAGAAGCGGAGCTGAGCAGGGCCCAGGCTATGTTTCTGGTGAGGCAGTGGAGGGCTCAGGCTTTGAAACTGGTAATGTGCTTGCGTGGTTTGTGTCCCAAAACCACTTCAATCCAACTTTTGCATAAAATGAAGTCCCAGCTTATCTCCATTTGCTGTTTTCTCTTCATGGGTTTCTTGTAAGGCAAAAAAACCCCCTTCAAACACCCTGAGAAGCAACTGTTCTTGTCCTGCTGCTATTTGTCTGTTACTAATTGTGGAGGACTTTCAAGTAATAACCTTCCACCCTTGCAATCTTTCTTACACCATGCTAAAAGGGTAGGATGTTAGACAGCCAAAGAGCTGTGTGTCCATCAGGGTTGGACTTCTTTGGCACAGGATGACCTTGGACAATTCTCACGAGCTTTGGCATGGTGGAAGCAGAGGGAAAGGAGAAGATGCTGGAGCAAGAAGAGCGTGGCAGGGTTGGTCTGCTGCACACTGTGTATTAGTTTTGGGGACTGCCTGAATTATGCAGAAGATCTGAATAGCTGAGGAGGCTGCAAGAATTATGTGCTGCTGCTGAGAGGCCGGTAGCATGAAAATTCAGCCATGCGTTTGGAGAGGGTGTGGAGAAGGGGGCAGGCTATTTGGCTGAAAAAATAATTCCTTTCCTTAGAAAGAGGTGAAATGGAGCTTGTAAAACAACAGAAAATCCTGCTATGTTTCTCTGGGAATGGTATGCTTTTTTCCATTAAATGGAGCGTTTAAATATAATACTTCAATTTTCATTGTCTCTCTTTTTTTAAATTCAAGCATCCAGGATTTGGCAGTCCATATTTTCAGTAAACACTACAGGGATGGGCATTCTTACATTCTTCATTTTTGTGCGTCTTTCCTTAATTTTCTCCTGGTAGTTGCTGGGTGGAAATAATTTTGTGCAGCTCCACCAGGAAAGCATTTGGTGGTAGTGACTAAAGCTGTTGCCTCAGGGGAATGAAGCTGAAATAAATTTAAATTTATATAGTAATTCCTGTCCTGCAAATTAACTTTTGATTGTGAACTATTGCTGTCCCAGTCTACATGAACTGAATGAACTCTGCATTCCCTGCAAGTCAGTTAAATACCCAAAATCCTCAAACCAAAAAGCTCACTCTTATGAAGTGTTAGGTGTCGGAGAAAATGTCACTAGGACATCCTTGAGGAAAATTGCTTCCACTAAGAAGCAGAATGGAATAATGTGGCTGCTTATATTTGTGTTTAGAAGATTGAAAATTTTTTTTGCTGTAGAATGGAACAATTTGATTGCACCACAGATGGATGAAGGATCACATCAAAATTCAAATGTAAGAAAACACATAACTTTGTAGACTTGTTACCTCAAGTCTTAATGGAGCAAATGAGATGATTAAATGACAGATTAGATATCTGAATAGAAATGGATTCTACAACTATAGCTGGCAGGATAATTGGTAGATTAGCAGTCTTACAAAGCCATAGCTAGCTATGCTTCCCTCAAGACACACATGCTATCATGAATTTGTAAAGTTTTAGTCCAATAAAAAATTATGCACTGTGGAAAAGGGATGAAATGCAATGTGCATTCTTGAGCAGCAGACCCTCTGCTCTTCTGTCTGCCTGGGGGGAACAGGGACATTAACTAGGCCCCCGTTTGTTGCTGTGGATCCAAGAGGCAGTGATAAGAAGGCTGCAGATCAGAGGCACGATGCTCAGAGAGCAAGCAGCCTCTGTCAGCAGCATGCCTCTGGGACAGGCCAGCTAGGAA